AGAGAGAGAGAGAGAGAGAGAGAGAGAGAGAGAGAGAGAGAAAAAGATAGTTATATTTATGAATTTATATATTTTTCATATTTAGAAAATTTACAAACATCCGAGACGAACGAATATTAAATCACTATATGTACGGAAGAGAACCGCCGTTAAGTATCTACCGCCTCCAGAGTCAATCATGCAGATGCGTGAACGCACTCATTCTCGACTCGCTAATTTAATGCCCAGTTTATGTGAATCTCAAAGGAGTGGCATAATATTCTACGAAATTATTTAGTAAAACACGTGTATGTGTGCAGTTACTTTACTCGTATGTAGATGCTGAGTTCATCTATGCTAGTTGTGCTCTTCCAAGGTGAACCGCCACATGCCCTATCAGGGCCGTAGCTATTGGGGCAAGTAAAGGTACATTGCATGGTAGATGGCGTTTACCTTCCCAGAACATAACACGGACGTGGCTTTGCCTCTAGGCAAAATGAGTTAGCTACGCTACTGCCTATACATTTTTAGCAATATGCACGTACATAGTGGAGCGCTGTGTGCAATGCATATTATAGAGTGTAGAAGAAACATATAGACCAAAGCCAGGCAAGATAGGGCCTAGAGTCTACTGTATATCTACATTTTTTTTCCATGATCTAGTAGACATAGCAATCAGCTAAAGTAATGCGTTATTATGAGTAGTAAGGACTTTAGTGATAGTAGTAGTAGCAGGGCCGTAGCCTGCGGGGGAGGGGCAAGTGGAGCAGCTAGCCCCCTAGAAAACTTTTGGAGCAAAATTAAAAAAATAAATTGTTTTACTAAAAGAGAATTGTTGTAGTCAGAATGAAGGCTGTACATGTACGCAAAAGTGCCTCAAAAACCATCTCGTGCGATCTACATTTTCAAAATTTTCTGTGGGAGAACCCACAGACCTGTTTCTCACCCCCTCCTTAAAATTCTGGATCCACCACTGGAATTTGCTCAGCCTACGGCCCTGAGTAGTAGTAGCAGCAATAGGCAGGAATCTTTCACGATAAGACGATCTTAGCCTAACCTGAACTGCATTATATTCCACACGCGCTGTACATTTCAGCTTGCCTGCACGTGACGAGAGAGCGGGAGACGGCCCACTGTCAGCTTATAGCAGATGACTTCATACAGATAGCAATGGAGGGAGAAGTAAGTCCTCCAGCCACCGGATCCTGCACATACGTTGACAACCACGGCCTGCCTTCTATATCGAATGTTTTTATGAGCTAAACTCTTTAAAAAATCAAGTCAATTAATAAGTAATCGAATCGTTATTCTGCTGTGGTAAAATATTTATTTCTGCGTGCGTGCGTGTGCGTGCGTGCGTGTGCGTTATGATGAAGTAGTTTAATTACGAGCAATGTAAAATCTTGACATGTGACGTTATAAAAGTATAGCTTTTGTGCTGGAAACTAGTTTCGTTTTATACTTTTGTACATAGCGAATATATATATATATATATAATTATATATATATATATATATATATACTATATAATATATATATATATATATTGTAAGACAAGGCATCACAAACATATTTGTCAAATTATATCTGTACATATAAGTGAGTGCGGTCATGCGTGCACGTGTTTAACAAATATCGCTGCTGCTGCGTGAGTATTTATTAGTAACTTATTTAATTTGAACCAAGGCGAATAAAAATTCGATGAAAACGTAGGTATAATCTATTATTTGTTTATCGCAATTTTACGCGCAAAATCTGTTCCTGGTGCAGCGCGTGTATTGCACAATATATTGCGCATAACGAAGCACAGTACTGTGTACTGTGTACTGTGTACCACATGTTTACTTTTCAAACGGATGTTTCAAGACTCCGCTAGTTCTCCTATCATTCCTATAGTTTGTAATGAATTCCGATGCGTCATCTATATAACAACGCGTGCGTGCGTGCGTGTTTGTGCGTGTTCGTAAGTGTCCGTATTAATGTTAACAATAAACGAGTTCCAAAAACCAACTATAAATTTGCTTCGATCGCTGCGATGCGTCTTTGTCTTATAATTAATGCCTTTCTTCTTTTCGTCTTCTTCTGTTTTTCCCATTTTCTTCGTTTTCTTCATTCGCCCCTCCTCTTCTACAGTTCTAGTCTTCGCCTTCGGTTTTGTCTGGAAGAAGTAACCGACGCCGTACAGGAACCTGGGTTACACAAGTTTCGCATAATTATACGTCCTTACGGCTCGCGTGGTTATACTGCTGAACCGTTTGAACTGTGTTCGTGGAACCGTGTGAATGCATTGGGAGAGAAGAAAAAAATGGCGTCAGTGATACACGTAGACTTGGATTAACAGGTATACTTGTATTACAACCACGTCAGAGTTTAACAGTGATATTGTACATGTATGCGAAAGCGTTCAGGTTTTTTTCTCGACAACAGTGCAACCGTGCGTGCGTGCGTGTATGTATACACGCATGCACGCGTTTGGTTTAGCGTGTGTTAGTTTACGCCGATACATATATTATAGGTGTATGCCGATGTGCATGCGTCTCTGCGCGTGCGGTGTTTGTGAGTGCGCGTGCTCGCGTACGAGCGTGTGTGCGTGTATGGGTGCGTGTGAGCGTGCAGTTTTTAGAAGATAAATGTTGTTGCTAATAGCATGGAATTCGAATGTTGTGTCACGAAGCACAGCGACAAACGGCAAAGAACTCGCACAACAGGACCACAGGTGCACGTACGGAGTGCTCAATAAATCTAACACAGCTCGTCTATATTTACTCGTCGTTATTAATATCACACATATATAGCGATAAGCGGACGAGCACATGTCATATACCAATTGAAAATATACTCACGCGTTGAGAGAAAATATACACGACTACGACACGTTCTGTCTAAAGGCCACATACAGCGCTTGATGTAATCTACCGGAAGACATAATCATTGTGAGGCATAATCATTAGTTGCAATGCGTTGTGGACCGCGTTTCGCATTCGTGCGATGGCGTCACGCATTTGCGTGATGACATCATTAGAAATGGCAGGTTTTGGCAGCCAGAAGAGTGCGGGCGGGAGAGTACGACTCGTAGACTGAAGCGACCGAAAACAAGGCTCTCTGTCCTGGACTATAGCACGTGCGACGTACGCGTTCGCTCGTGCGCTCGGTAGCGTTTTGCTCTCACGGCATAGAACACGTTACATGCCCACCCCGCCTCAACGACATTGCAGTGCAGCGAGTTTTCCGTGGGTCAAATTACACGCACTGCACTGAGTCCGCAGGGAGAATTAAATAACGGCTATAGTACAATAACAGTTATAGTACGTTACAACGCAGATATCATGCATCGACTATTGTTTCTTGGATTTGGCATATGTTTGCAAAGATATTCGCGCGTAAAATTCAATTATCACGTGCGGTAGATAGGCTGGTTTTTTCTACCCTTCTATTGACATTTTTCTTAGTAGATGACGCGTGACGTTTTGTCTTGTAAGCAGTGCGTTAATCGTAGTTTACGGTACACATTTTTATGCATGAATGATCCGGCCAAATCAAATATGCGTGGACGCCGTAGAGCCGTGTATTTGTAGTGAACTTTGATAAAAATGTAATTATCTGCAAACCATATCGATCATTAATAATAATAAAATAATAATAATAATTATATTATTATTATTATTAATGGTAACGGTGATGATAATAATGACGGGGGAGGGGGGGGGGTAACAGCGGAACAGAGAACGCACGTGAGCAATAAATAGACACCCCGCTACTCACCTACATATTATCAACTAAACGAATTTCATTTCGCATAATAAAAGCATTTAACGAGGAGATATAATAGCAAATATATTAACAGCGCTTTCTAAATGAAACAATTTTTCTCTCGAGTGAGAACCCGACGAATTGATATCAACAAACGCGCAGTTTTTCCGACGACACTCTTCGAGGAGGACCGTTCATTTATTTTGAAGTAAAAACACCTTACTCCGAAGGAATTCGTTTTTCCTTACAAGCTATTATGCGATCGCACGTCAATATTTCCTCAATAGTAGGTACGCTTTCGATCGCGTGTGTAACAATATACAATACTATATACGCCCTGACGTTAATGATAGGATATGGTGAGTTGATGACTGCGTCGCGCACCGCGGGGTTTCTACACGCTAACACAAACACGGTAGTTAGCACACACGCACACACACGCGCACACACACACACACGCACACACACACACGCACACACACACACGCACACACACGCGCACACACACACACACACGCACACACACGCACACACACACGCACGCACACACA